ACCACGTGCAGATGCGGATGATTTGGTGAAGGAAAAGTGGTTTGCAGCAGGGTGGTTTGAAGTGGATATGCGGAGCGATAGAATTGGATTGGGGCGGTTTCGCGTGGAGGAGGAGGAGAAGATGAATTGGGGATGTCGGTGGTGTTTTGAACATAGGAAAGAAAGGAGCAGCGAGCCAACGATTCACATTCACAGATATAAGATCTGCTTTTCAGTTCTATTTAGGCTATGTTTGGTAAAACTAGCTGATAAGCTAGCTGATAGTTGATAAGCTAGCTTATAGCTTATATGTAATTTTTGAGCTTATACCTTATAGCTTATGACTTATAGCTGAAAAGCTAGCTTATATAATAAAAGATGTTTGGTAAATTAGCTGATAAGCTAGCTGAAATAAAAAAATTCAACTAGCTTATTTGAAAAGCTACCTAAAGTAGCTTATGAAATAAGCTCGAGCTTTTTAAAAAAGCTTGTCCTGCCAAACGAGGCTTATTTTAAATAGGGAGCTTATAAGCTAACCAAATAAGCTATAAGCTAGCTTATTTGGCTTATCAAACATACCCTTAGGGTTAGCAAATATTAAAATATAATATATAATATTATTATTATATATAGTGGGTTAGCAAATAGTATATTATAATATATAATATAATATTATTATGATATGTAGTATGGTACAATATATTATATATATTATTTTCGGTTAAGTCGGATAATTTGATGTCCGAAACCGAAACCGACCGAAATAATCGAAAAATAATTTGGCTGAAACCAAAAACCGGCCGAGTCGAATAAAATCGAATTTAATAAATTACCATTATACCCTGGTGTTCATCAGTCGGTTCGGTCGACCGACCGAACCGAACTACAAAAAACGAATTTACCGAACGATTATATGTCAAAAACCGAACCGACCGAACTATTTTCTTAAAACCGAAATACAACCGAAACGAATTATTCGGTCGGTTCGGTTGATTAACCGAATTTTTACCAAAAAATAAAAAATAAAAAATTAAGGATTGTTTACTAGGCCATTTCATTGGGAGGGAAACAAATAAGGCTTTATTCCTTGGGCCTTGACGGTGAACAGAGTGCACGGAAAGGCGGCACCTCCAAGCTCAACGCTCAACTGATGTGTCGACGAACGGCGTCAATCCTTGACCGGACCGAACCACGTGCAGACGCGGATGATTTGGCGAAGGAAAAGCGATTTGCAGCAGGGTGGTTTGAAGTGGATATGCGGAGCGAGATTTGGATTGGGGCGGTTTCGCGTGGAGGAGGAGGAGAAGATGAATTGGGGATGTCGGTGGTGTTTTGGACAGAGCGAAAGAAAGGAGCAGCGAGCCAGCGATTCACATTCACAGATTTAAGATCTGCTTCTCAGTTCTATTTAGGGTTAGCAAAAATTAAAATATAATATATAATATTATTATTAGGAAAAAGCTACTTGTACAACTTTTTTTGTACAACATTCAATGACAACATGATGTGGCATAATGTGGGTGGTTGAGATGCAATTAAATATATGATTAAAATTTTAGTTAATGATACTTTTAACTAAGTTGTCAACCAATGTTGTAAACTACAATTGTACATATAGCATTGCCCTTATTATTATATATAGTGGGTTAGCAAATAGTATATTATAATATATAATATATTATTATTATGATATTTAGTATGGTACAATATATTATATATATTATTTCGATCGGTTCGGTTAATTCGGATAATTTGATGTCTGAAACCGAAACCGACCGAAATAACCGAAAAATAATTTGACTAAAACCGAAAACTGACCGAGTCGAATAAAATCGAACCGAATTTTGGGGTTCGGTCAGTTTTTTCGGTTCTAGCCGAATTATGCACACCCCTACCCTCATGTGCTTTATTGAACAAACTAAATTTTTTTGCCAAAGGGAGGAATCGAACCAGGGTCTGAAGGAGGTGAGCCTACCCACTAAACCAATGTGCCATGTAGATTCTTGGATAAGAATTGTACACAATTACATTTCTAATATCAACTCTAAACGAATTAATAAAGTAAAATAAAAATATGTTAGGTAAATTTAAAACAAATTAAATAATAATAATAAGAGGTTGCAATACATTAAATTAGAATAAAAATGAGGTAGAAAATAAAGTAAGATAGATCTTAATATGGTAGCATGGATTGAAATTAAATAAACTATTTATTTCTATTATTAAATTAAAATTAATATAAATTTGGAAATGAGTAATAATAATGATAAATTTAAATTTAAAATTAAATAAATAAATTAATATCGTAGGTACATTTAATATATATAAAATAATCATAACAATAATAATAATATAATAATAACTCAAAATAAATTAAATTAATATAATAATGAAAAATAAATTATAATAAAGTAAGATAAAATTAATTATAGTAGCAGGAATTAAAATTAAATAAATTTTAAAATTTTATTTCTTAAAATAAAATTCATTATAAAAATTGTACATTACGAATCTACTTCTATGGAAAAATCGAACCTAATTGCTCTTTCTTCTGGGTGATTTCAGCCCAAGACGCTATCGATCAGTGCCGGCCTTCTTGCGATCTTCGGAGCCTTCCTTATCATTCAGAAAAGACAAAAAAATTTTAGGATAATAAACATTGGCTAGAATTTCTCTTAGATTCGAACCCATAGCTAGTCTATCCTACTTCAGGCCATCTCGTTCAGTCTCCAGGAACTAAACTCTTAGATGCAGCCGCCATACCTTGATCTATTACTGTACGAATAGCATCTGCTATTGACTTCTAGCTAGCTTTCCCACTCGCATAAAAGGCCGCTACTGACATGCTACCTAAAAATCTAACTGATAGCATGTACAATTATAATAATAATAATAATAATAATAATAATAATAATAATAATAATAATAATAATAATAATAATAATAGTAATAGTAATAATAATAATAATAATAATAATAATAATAAATTAGAAAATAAATAAAAATCAAGTAAACTAGGTAAATAAACATAAAAACAATTTAATATAAAATACAAAAATGTTAATGTAAAATATTTTATCTTATTGTAAAATAGTAAATAAAAAAAATAAAAAATTATATTAACATAACAAAATAAAAATATTATTTATCTAAATATTTTTAGTACAATTTACTCTTCAACACAATATTAATAAAAAATTAGAAATAAATTATTATTTTTAGTGGATGATTTTAAATAGAAATAAATAATTATAGTTTCAAAATTTTATTTGATAAAATATATTTTAGTTTTATATCTTTGCAAAGTTGAACAAAATAAATAAAATTTGTTAACTAAGATATAATAAGATTAAATAAAATGACAATTTAAAATAAATAATAAAAATAAAAGTAGATAAAAATAATTTAAATAAATACAATAAATATTGTTATTTTAACTATAACTTTTTCTATAAACTCATATAAGTTATTTTAGTTATTTAATTTTTTGTTTAATTTATATAATTTAGTTTATTCTATTTTAATTTATTATAAGCTTATAGTTTGTTAATGTATTTAATATAATTTATATTATCTCTTAAATTAATTTGATTTATACATGTATAATGCATATATATATATTTAACGTTCTTAAATATAATATACAATTTGGACAGGTGGGGTGGTAGAAGCACTCCTTTCCTCCCTTGAGGTCTCAAGTTCTAACCCTGGCCTGTAAATTTTTTTTAGCCAATATATCGTGATATTTTTAAAATATCGTGATAAATTCAATTTATCGTAAATATAAATAAAAAATTCGGAAGGTATAACGTGGTTTTCAGCAAAAAATTAAAACCGTTAACTGGACAAATAAAAAAGAGTAATGCTATTTAACTCACTTAGACGGCAACTTGGATTACAACTCAAGTGTAAATGTATTATAAAGAAATTAAAAAATAATGTATTTACACTTGAGTTGTAACTCAAGTTGTAACACAAGTGGGCTCTATAGCATTACTCAATAAAAAAAAAGGGAGAGTGTGCATCGGTTACTCTAATACAAAGGAGTGTCATGCATTTTTAAAGAGAAATGCTATAAGTACATAATATTGTACATAGAGGTGTACATAACACTCACATTAATTAGGCCCTGCCAAAAATAAAAGATCGAGTGGACCCCACTTCATATTAGTGTTATGTACATCTCTATGTACATTTATTATGTACTTGTAGCATTTTTCTTTTTTAAAACACAGGGTAATACTGCACGTATTACATACAACACAGGGGTTTGAAGAAGTTTATCCAGTAATTAAGTAGACAAGGAATACAAAACATCAAACTAGATAATGCCATATGGGATTTCATGCATGTTTCTGGTTAAATGAAGTTCATTTCAAGTTTCAAATAATAGAACATAAAAAAAAAAAATAATAATAATAATAAAAAAAAAATGAAAAAAAATCCAAAATATATATCTTAAATTAACTAGGATTAGGAATTCAAATAGTTCAATAATATTCAATACAAAGAAGCAATAATTGTGGCACTCTCCTAATAAATAAATAATTTGTTATGGAAAAAGCAAGCGCCATATCCACTGAACCAAAATGAAAGCAAATTCAAACACACTAGAACAACTTTTGCAACATCTCCATGATTATTAAACTCAACAATATAAACAAATCATATAATTAATCATATATATCCAAAAACTTTGTTGGCCCCACTCATCATGAATTTCTACCCACATTATACATTATTACATTACCATATTTTATGGGCATTATTTTTTTTTTATTTATTATTATTTCAAATATTCAAATCAAACATAGCTAGTTTATCAGTCACACAAAGTCCCACCGCCTTCTTCAACTGTATAAAGAGTTGAATACCAAGACTCATTATTAGTCATTATCTGTTATTTTCTCAATAAAGATCAAGAAATTAAAAAGAAAAAGAAAAAAAAAAATAAAATGGGGGCTCTTGATTATCTCTCAAACTTTTGCATTGTCACAAGCAAAAGGACCAAAAGGAAACCAATGCAGGTATTTAATTATCTTTAGTTGCATGTTGAGTTGTTAATTATTATTTTTTTTTTAAATTTCCTATTTACCAATTATAATATGATATTTAATGTATGAGATTTTTTTTTTATTTCTTCTTAGTTTATGTAAATTTTCCTTAATGATTTGTTATATATGCAGACGGTTGAGATCAAAGTGAAAATGGATTGTGATGGATGTGAGAGAAGAGTCAAGAATGCGGTTAAAAACTTGAAAGGTTCTCATAATTAAGCCAATATTGCATTTTTAGTCCCGCGTATTTTTAACGTCGTAGTATTTTTTTAGTTCCTAGATTTCAACTTTTTGTTTCTTTATCTTGTAATTTGTAGTGCTTTGTTGCAATTTCAGTCTTCTAGGAACTAAAATTGCAACAGAAATTAAAAATTACAATACTTAAATTGCTAATTTGAGTCCTATAATTTAATATTTCTTTTTGCAATTTTTGTCCTCAAAAGAGTGACATTGCATTAATTTTTAAGTCATAGGACCAAATAACAAAATGTTCAGATCTTAATTAGGATTAAAAACGCTATTAGATCAAACTATCAGGACTAAAATTGTTATTTTGTCCATAATTAATTATTGCTCTCAACAATATAGGCCAACATGTCATGCATAAAGATTTAAATATTTTTTTTTTTTTTTTTTTTATATTTTTTGAAATTTGTACAGGAGTAAGAAGTGTGGATGTGAACCGAAAGCAACACCGTGTAACGGTGAGCGGTTTTGTGGAGCCGAGGAAGGTTCTAAAGAGAGTGAAAAGAACAGGAAAACGGGCCGAACTGTGGCCCTATATTCCTTATAACCTGGTACAACACCCTTATGTAGCTCAAGCATATGACAAACGAGCCCCGTCTGGATTCGTGCGCAATGTTTCGCAGGCGGTCTCGATGCCAAATTCAGATGAGGAAAGAATGTCTTATTTTTTCAGTGATGATAACACAAATGCCTGTTCTATTATGTGAAAATTAAGAGTAATATATGTATGCATATGCAGTGAACACAACTTCTGTTCTGTTGCCTTGTTTTGGGTTCTTTTCGTTTCCTTTTATTTTTCCCTTGGTGTGTTTCTTTTTGCTAGGATACATTGTATAAGTACTAAGGTTTGGTTATAATTTGGAATTGCTGAAGTGATTTATTTCAAAGTTCTATCTCGATTTAGAATTAAAGAAAGAGAAATGCTACATTGTCAACCTAGTGTATATTTTATTATTTTAGAATCGCATTGACCAGAAAATTTCTCTCTTCTCTTGCCGAAGTAAACACTTCATATATACGGACGATCATCTCTTGATGGTCATTTATCTGTTTACTAGAGTGTGGATGTTATTAGATTTTATAGCTTGGTATGTGCGTATCGACTTCTTGGGGCGAGTGGCTATTCTGTGTGGGTTAGTGCTTGTTGGCAAGACGTAGCCAGAAAAAAAAATGTACTCGGGGCTGCAAAATATACAACTGTTATTCGAATCGATTTATCTTCTAACATAGTTCGATTCGACTTGTATTCTATATTTAAAGTGATCCAAACTCTAACAACTAATTGAGCTTGACTATCAAACAAGTCGAGTCGAACGTGCTCACTAGTAATTCAAGAGTTTTGTGTTTTGGTCTATGTTTGAAAGTTTATAAAATGACTTAAACTAAGTTTATACGAGTCGAACTCAAGCTAAATTTTTTATTTGTTTATTAAACTAGCCGAACCACGGAAGCTAGCTCGTTTATTAAATGAGCACAAGTTCGAACTTGAAATACTCGGTTTGAAAAATTTAAATAGACACATAGTATAAAAATGTCAAAGTATGAAAATAAATTTTAAATTTAATATAAATTACATGAAACACACAATAAATAATATCAACAAGCAATGTTGAAATTACAAAATATAAATTATTTTACTTTCTAACTAGTCGTGTTTTATATGAAGATGATTCTGATTTGACAAAGACTTGTGAGTTTTTAACTACCCCTTGTACATATGACAAATATTCATTTTTAATTGTTTTATTATTTTATTCACAAAAATAATTTTTCTCATGTAATTGTATTTTAATTTAAAAAATAAATAATTTATTTAAGGAATACTATAAAACAATGTAATAGTCTCTTCATTCTTATCAAATGTCATGTCATTTAAAGTACACATGCCATTTTATTGAACTTGTCAAAAAAATAAATGAGATTCAGTAGTAAATTTCGTATAATCAACTATAATTTACATAAAAGTTCCGTGAATATATAAACTTGATTGTGAAATCTATAAATTCAAGTACATATGAAGTATTCTAATGAAAGTCTAACACAATCAAATATTGTCTCGAATAAAATCAGGGATTTTTTTTAACCTTTCAAACTATGCCCATTTTCAAAGTTTGCCTTACGAACTTTTTTCTTGACAATTTGCCTCTCTGTTCGCCCATATTTTTAAAGCTCGACCGCAAGTGTACGGCTTCGCTCGTAGTATGTGGCAAGCAAGGTCGTATCCCAAGAGACCAAACAACCAATTAATCAAGTACTAGATTATGATAGTGCCAATTTTATTTAGATGACCGAATACGAGATTGATTAACTAAACTAAGAAAATAATTCAAAAGATAAGAAATCTATCACAAGAAAACAACTAGAAAAACACTTGAGAAGAATATATGAGAATGGTAGATTCTAAGACTATGGGTTCAATTAACAGTTGGGTTCCTTCAAATATATCACAACTAACTATTTTCTTTATCTACCCTATAAGATGATCACAAAATTAGCCTATCGTCCCTCTCGAGATCGATAAAACCGTAGATTAAATCACATATATTAGCGTCTCCACTCAACACATGCAATTCAACTCCAAACAGATTAAAAGATCTAAAATCCTCACAATTACCTACTAATCTCTCGATTCAAGCAAGTAAATTATGTCAAGTATTAAAGACCTAATATTGAACTCATCTCTCAAATTATGAACAATATTGTCAAACATGTAAAAGAATTGATCAAGTTCTAAACATGGAATAAGAACAAAATACTTGAATAGGGTTCAAAAGAAAAACAATCAATTATAAATAAATCATCCAAAATCCCAACATATTAATCTACTACCAAGTCTTAGAATCAATAAATCTAGCTACTCATGTTCGAATTCAAACACATAGACATATTAGAAATCGACATGATTAATAAAAGTTCAAGAGGAAAAAGAAATAAAAACTAGAAATCTCGTCGATATTTTAATCTTCTTGATCCCTTCGTAGTTGATCCTCCTTGTGCTCCTCAATTGCTTCTCTTGTGTGTTCTAGGGCTCTCCTCTTTTTGTTCTCTCTGTTCCTCCCTCAGAATAGGGTTAATATGCTCTTTTTAATATCCAAAACTCCTCTCTTTATCCAAAAAGGCAAGAGAATAAAAACTGTCCGCGCGCGCGACACGACCTGACACGCCCGTGTCACGGGTCGTGTCACAGATCGTGTCAGGTATTCTGCGCTTACACCTCTCTGTTTGGATGACACGGGTGATGACACGACCTCGGAGCCCGTGTCACGGGTCGTGTCACACCACTGTACGCTCATTTTCGACTCGTTTCGCTCGTTTCTTCCATTCTCTTCATCCGTGCATCGATCTACCATTATCCCGGGAGTCTCAGGCACTCACTATGCTCCTCCAATAGCCAAAGCTCTACAAATATGTGAAAATATCTACAAAACAAGCACGTGTAATACCTTTCCAACAAATATAAAATTAAAGCACAAATGTGCAATTTATACACCAATAATGTAACAATTAAGCTCAATATACTAGGTGTAAAATCACACATGAACAAACCCCCAAACTTAAACCATTGATAGTCCCGATCAATGCATCTCACTCTCTCAACACACAAAGAAAAACAATCACAACTTTCAAAGTCGGTCATACACATCATCAATAGTCATCAGGCGAATAACATACTAAATCCGAAATCTTTAAACAAAAAGAATGCTTCAGCAAAATCATGGTCTATACTTTCAATCCACAAACCTCACCAGATAAGTGTATACTCTCACTCTCGAAAGTGTATAGGGAAATAATCGCTCAAATCAATTCAATGTCAAAGAATTACCATAAGCTTGCAAATCGTCTACTATCTCCACCACTTATAGTGCATGCATTTCATGAATCAAAAAGGACTTTTTATTTGGTTGTAATGTAGGCTCTTTGGTTAGGGTAGGAAAAATATAGACAAAGTGACGAACACTTGAGCATCTAGAACTACAAAACATGAACCACAACAATTCATCTCCTTATCAACATAACCCATCCACTACCCAAATTCAATCAATTCTCTCAATCCATAAGAGAATAAAGATCAAACAAAAAACCAAAAATAGCCTTTATTCGAACTAAGGCAAACTATATACGAAATAAACTTTTTTTTTCTTTTTTTTTTCTTTTTTTTGTTTTTTTTTTTTCAGTGGCCTCATTCAAAGGCCTTATTCAAATTCCCAAACAATATTTTCATCCCAAAACATCCCTTTTTTTTTCTCACCACCACAACACACTCATCCCTTCACATAATATAATCCTAAATGCTCAAGTAGGGACAAGGAAAAATAAAGATAATAGCTTAATGTGTGGCAATCAATAAAATAGGCAAAAGCTCAAAAGGGTTGACTAGGGAATAAAAATATTATTTGGTAAGCTAAAAGTCAAAAGGGCTAAAACAAAAAAATATGCCTTAAATCATTTTCACGAAAAGCACACATCATGTAGTCTCAATATAGATACCAATGTAAGTTCTAGAATTCAACAACAATGAACGATACACTCAATCAACAAAGTATAAGGCTCAAAAGCTCACAAGTGATCATATGTTCATGAATTAAAAGCATCAACCAATCATTCAAATTCACAATTCAGTTCATCATGAAATTTTATCACCTAGTACATCATGCCCAAATTCCATATCCAATATGCATAACAAACTTATCAAGGCGAATCCAAGTTGACCAACTACAACTACTCAAATCCTATAAAAGCAATAAACGTGCTAAAGCAATAAACCTAACATGCAACTACATGATATGCAAAGATAACGTGTTTTCTTGAATCCTAAACAATGACTCCCCCAAACTTAAATGAAATTCTATGAAGCACAAGAGGGAATAGAAATTCATAACCAAGGATCAAGAAACACTCACAAACCAACACAACTCACTGAGGTGGTGGGCCAAAATGGCCCTCATCCATGTGCCACTGATGCATTTGGCGAATCATCGCCATCATCTCTCTCTGATCTGCTCGCACACCTCTCATCTCGGCCTCCAAACTCGTCATCCTATCGTCTAAGCTCAAGGGAGGGGGAAAAACGGGCCTCTCCGCTCCTTGATTGGAGCTCTCCGGGATATCCATCGGAATGTCTCCGCCTCGCTCATACTCATTCTCCTCCTCCACGCTCGGGTGCAACTCTACACGAGGTCGGACATACCTACTCCTGCCCCCAACCGACTGGCCAAATGCCGCTTGCACCTCATTTATCACCGTCGAGTGTGCATCACTCCACATCTTAATGTTCACCACGTCATCGTCACTATCAACCGTGGTGAACTGAGAATTCGGCAACGGGAAATGATCGTGAGCCTTCTGTATGAACAAATATTGGTTGCCATCCTGACGAACAAAGTTCATCGCCTTGAGTGCCGCCATATTAATCAACGGCATGGCATCCACGGGGGCCATCATCGTCACATCAACCCCACAAAACATAGCAATGGGTGTAATCAAGCCACCCACGCACACGACCCCCGACTCGGCTATGGCTGCCTCCCACAAATGCGTCACAACCCACTTTCTGGTAGGTCCGGGCTTACTCTTCAACATGCACCAAATGGCAGTAAGCTCTCGGAGAGAACAACCACCCATCTCTCCTCTAGCGAATATGGTGCTCGCCACTACTTTCTGCAAAAAACCTCAACACCGGATTGCGTATGGAGGTTGCTTTGGCCGA